GCTAGGATTACAGGTGTGTACCACCACACCCAGCTAATTTTTATATTTTTAGTAGAGATGGGGTGTCACCATGTTGGCCAGGCTGGTCTCAAACTCCTGACCTCGTGATCCACCTGCCTTGGCCTCCCAAAGTGCTGGGATTACAGGCGTCAGCCAGCATGACCAGCAAGCCAAGGTTTTTCAAATGGCCTCTCCCCCAGTCTTTTTATGATCCCTTCTGTCCTAGGAGAAACCAAGTCTCAGGATGGACTAGGGCAGCTCCAAACGCTTCCAACAAGGAAGGCCCCAGGCGCCTAGGACCGCAAAGAGCAAGTCCCAGAACCATCTTCTGGCTGGAGAGGATTAAAATGGGCCTGGTGGGGCGTCTGTAGTCTCAGCTACTCGGGAGGCTGAGGCAGGAGAATTGTTTGAACCTGGGAGGCGGAGGTTGCAGTGAGCAGAGATCGCGCCATTGCACTCCAGCCTGGGAAACAGCGAGACTTCGTCTCAAAAAATATATATAATAATAAATAAATAAATAAATAATGGGCCTGGTGTGGGTGGCCACTGGCTGTATTCTATGTTACTTGTCGGCCCACCTCTCCCTCCTGTCCCCCACTTCTGTGGGTCACCGGGGTCCAGCACAGTGATGTGAATTTCACCAGAGAACTAGGAGAGGGTTAGAGAGATCTCGGACAAGGGCAGGGCCCCAGGGGAAAGGCTGCCCAGCAAAAAATGGGAGGAGCGAAGTGGCATAGGTTGAAAGGTGGAAGGGCAGGCCCCTGGGGCTGTGTCCAAGCGAGGAGGCCGCGGAAGGGAAAGTGTTATTGGACTGGACAGAGCAGCTAGTGGGCCCGACGGATAGACATACACTGCCAGCCCGGAGTGGAAAGAACAGTTTATGCTGTGCTTTATTAAAATGTGCATCATTTATTTTAAAATGTGCATCATTGTCTCGTGCTCGGCGCATGCGACCTCAGCGTGGTGGCCCGCGGGGGGGCCTCGTTCCCGCCCAGCTCCCGCGGAGCCGCAGGGAGCAGGCGCACTCACGTGGCGCGGGCCCGGGGGCTCCCGCCCATGGCCAGGTAGACGTCGATGGGCACGTGCAGCAGCGTCAGGCAGTGGCATCCGGGGCAGCGACGAAGCGGCCTGGGGAAAGCGGGGCGCGACAGGGGGCGCTGAGGCGGGGGCCCGGCCCATCCTGTGGGGCACATCCAGGGAGTGCACCTGGGTCCCCGGGGGCTCCGGACGTGGATGCGGGGACCTGACTGCTGGGGGCGCCAAGTGGGACCGAGGGCGGGGCCGCGGGACGGGCGGAGGGGGTTGGCGCGGGCCTCACCTGACCGGGTTGTGCTCCGTCGCTACCGCCTCCGGGCTGTCCTGGGACTCGGGGGAGGCGGCAAGGCCACGGGAGTCTCCGGCCTCAATGGGGAATCTCCGACCCTGCGGGGGCTCCTGGGCGCTCATGTCCAGGCCCCGGGGCGCTCTGCGCGGGGAGTGGCGGTCAGGCCTCTCCCGGGCAGCCGGGCGCCGCCGCCTCGCGCCCGCCCCCTGGGCCGTCGCTCACCTCCCGGAGGCTGAGACCGGTCCCAGGCTGGAAGCAGCTGCCCGAGCCCTGGCCGCGGGAGAACGCTCCGGTCCAGGCGGAGCCGGGCAGGTCTCTGCGGCGGGCCCGGACCCGGGCGTCGAGGAGGGCAGCATTGTGACCCGGGCCGCGGCACGCTGACCTCACAGAACCCGTTCCTCCCACTGGAGAACCCCCAACGGCGCCCCCGGCCGCCCCTGGCACTCAGCGCGGGCCGGAACCGGGGACTGGAGGGATCTGGCCATGGCGCCTGGAGACGGGGTAGCGCAGACCCCAGCCACCCGATGGGGGCGCAGCAGGCCAGGGCAACCCGCCGCGAGGCGGCGTCCACGCCAAGGAGCCGAGCCTTCCCGGCCCACACAGACGCCGAGGAGCGCCCTCCCAGACGGGGGCTACGACTCAGTGCCTGGCGCGGGGGCGGGCTCGGCGGTGACTTAATCCGGGCTGGGTTTGGTGGTGGTAGTGAGGGCAGGTAGGGGCACTGCCCATTTTGGCCAAGGGTCACACAGCATTTACATCACAATTGCGCCGGAGCTTAAAAATGTCTGGCCCTCTCCCTCCCCACCACCCGCGGCTGTGTCCAGACAATGTTCTAACGCTGGGGGCGGCTGCGGATGAAGTCCTTGGGGAGAAAAGGAGCAGGCCAAAGGCGATGGTGGAGTAGAGCTGCCTCGCAGAGGCAGCATGAGCTGAGAGGGTGATAGGAAGGAGGCGCTAGACAGGATGGAGGACTTTCTGCTCTCCAATGGGTACCAGCTGGGCAAGACCATTGGGGAAGGGACCTACTCAAAAGTCAAAGAAGCATTTTCCAAAAAACACCAAAGAAAAGTGGCAATTAAAGTTATAGACAAGATGGGAGGGCCAGAAGGTGAGCTGGGGCCCCTTTGGAGGGAAGGAGGGCTGGCTGAAGGCGGTGGGTGCTTCCTCCTGTTGAAAAGATCATTCGATCACTCCCTGCGCCCACTGGCCTGGAACCAAGCAAGCCGGATGGCAGCTCTGGAGTGGGTCAGTGGGTAACAGGGATTCTGGGAGTCCAGGAACATTACATCCCCCAAAATGCAAGATTAAAGTGGCATGAGGTGAAGGATCCTCAGAGGCAAAACCTGAGCCAGGCTTTCCTTTCCGGCAGGGGAACAGAGACTGGCAGAGGCCACAGCCAGGGCTAGTAGAGAACAGGGGCTGGTGCCAAGGCCCGTGGAGATGGGAAAAAGGAAGACAGGGCTCATGGAAAGAACTATGGGGTCAGGGGATAGCGGCGGGAGGAGCTGGCTCACCAGCCTGTGGACAAATCAGGCCTGATAATTTGTGATTCTGTGGCTTTGTCTAAAAGCACCTAAAGCACCTTGATATCCAGTCTCACAGACTGCTCAACAGTCCACGAGGCTGGTGGGAGTGGTTCTTTTTTGAATGATACACTAATGACAAAAATAATAGAAGTAAACATTCTTTGCAATGTCCAAGCAGCTAGACACATTTAAGACCATTAAGGGAGCCAAGAAATAAGACCCAGACAAGGTGGGCAGAAGTTGGAAGGCAGGAGACAGGTGTGAGGAGGTGGGCCTTTCTGATCTGCCAGCCCATCTCTCCTCCCCTTACTTCCTCAGAGTTTATCCAGAGATTCCTGCCTCGGGAGCTCCAAATTGTCCGTACCCTGGAACACAAGAACATCATCCAGGTGTATGAGATGCTGGAGTCTGCCGACGGGAAAATCTGCCTGGTGATGGAGCTGGCTGAGGGAGGGGATGTCTTTGACTGCGTGCTGAATGGGGGGCCATTGCCTGAGAGCCGGGCCAAGGCCCTCTTCCGTCAGATGGTTGAGGCCATCCGCTACTGCCATGGCTGTGGTGTGGCCCACCGGGACCTCAAATGTGAGAACGCCTTGTTGCAGGGCTTCAACCTGAAGCTGACTGACTTTGGCTTTGCCAAGGTGTTGCCCAAGTCGCGCCGGGAGCTGAGCCAGACCTTCTGCGGCAGCACAGCCTATGCCGCCCCTGAGGTGCTGCAGGGCATTCCCCATGATAGCAAGAAAGGTGATGTCTGGAGCATGGGTGTGGTCCTGTATGTCATGCTCTGTGCCAGCCTACCTTTTGATGACACAGACATCCCCAAGATGCTGTGGCAGCAGCAGAAGGGGGTGTCCTTCCCCACTCATCTGAGCATCTCGGCCGATTGCCAGGACCTGCTCAAGAGGCTCCTGGAACCCGACATGATCCTCCGGCCTTCAATTGAAGAAGTTAGTTGGCATCCATGGCTAGCAAGCACTTGATAAAAGCAATGGCAAGTGCTCCCCAATAAAGTAGGGGGAGAAAGCAAACCCAAAAATCCGCTTCTAAAATAGTGATATATATTTTACGCCTTAAGTTTACTTATCCTAAAACTTACATCTACCGGAGCCTTACTACCACTCTTTCCTTTTAGAGATCTTCATGGAATCAAAGGGCCTCATTCAGACTTGCTTTTTTTTTTTTTTTTTTTCTGTCGCCCAGGCTGGAGTGCAGTGGCACGATTCCAGCTCACTGCAACTCTGCTTCTCAGGTTCAAGCGATTCTCCTGCCTCAGCCTCCCTAGTAGCTGGGATTACAGGCACCTACCACCACACCTGGCTATTTCTGTATTTTTAGCAGAGATGGGGTTTCATCATGTTGGCCAGGCTGGTCTCGAACTCCTGACCTTAAGTGGAGGCCTGCCTCGGCCTCCCAAAGTGCTGGGATTACAGGCGTGAGCCACCAGTGCCTGGTCTGACAAGTGATTTTCATACTAAAGTTAATTAAAATAGACCCCAGAATCATATACAAACGGGGAGGAGAGGAGAAAAACGACCAACAACAACTGAAGCCATTGTTGTTGCAACTTCCTTTCCAAAGAAAAGCAGAGGTGTCGGGAGTGCAGAGATGGCCTCCCGACTCCTTGTCCCAGTGAGAGGCCTGTTGGGAGCCCTGTCCCTTTCTTATCCCAAAGGCAAAGCTGAATCTGGGATGAGGACAAGCGATGTCCTCTGGACCCAGGCTATCCCTCTACCCTGTTTCTGGCTCCAAGTGGGAAGCCAGTCCTGCCCTGGCCCAGTGCAGCTACCAAGGGGACAAAAACAGACCCCAGACACCTTCCAGCTTTGGTTGAATCACTTTAATGCTGTTAACGGCAAGTCTGTAAAAGGTTCAGGACAAAGTTCTTTTTTCTTTCTTTTTTAATTATAAAACTAACAGCTGTTAGAATCTTTTTTCTTTTTTTTTTCCTTTTTTCTTTTCCCAGCTACAAAATACTCTGGGGAGATGCATTATAATTTAAAATATATAATATTGCACAAACAACCAAAAAGTTAATTAAACTAAAGAAATAATTACAAAGAGAAAAACCCCATCCCGTCAAAAAAAAGATTCAGCATTCTCTCCAACCCACCCCCTCACTGAAGGTTTGAAGTAGAAGTGACCCCACTCTCTCGGTGTCCCTGACCACGATCCCTTTCACTCGCTGGTGAGCACACCAGATTAGGTACAAGAATCACCAGAGCAGCATCGTGAAGCACCAGGCTCTCCAGAGATTCCTGCAGCCCCTCATTCCCCCAGAGGTGCAGCTTTACCAGACTGGAGGGTGAGAGCGCAAAGGCTGGGTCTGTCTTCAGGAAGAAGAGCTTTTGCAGAAGCCTGATGAGAGTTTCAAGTTCACCCCCAGGATAGCCCTTCCAGAAGCAGAAGGGCTGAGGCAGAGAAGCTAGGCTTACCAGAGTTGTAAGTACTCGGCTGTGATCACCGCTCTGTACCGCTGGTAGCTGTTTTGTGTCCTAAGCTACAGGGGAGTTGAGGTGGGTAGCTGGTTGGACAAGGTATCCTGCCAGGCAACACACAGAAGGGCCTCAAGTGGCCCCCTCCCTTCTTGGGGAGGGGAAGAAATGCAAGAGCGAACTCCTGCAGGTGGCACAGCTGGGCTAAGGACTTGGGTGCATCTGACATGAAGAAGCCCTGGGAAGGCATAGGGACAGACCAGCGTGGACTGGAGGAAAGGAAGAAGGTGGGTCAGGGTTTGGTCTCTGGATTCTGAACCCCAAAGGAGCCTTTCCAGGAATGGAAAATGCCTGGGAAGGGGAGATTCCCAAGAGAGGAGAGGCAAATTTCCCAGAGGTAAGTGCATCTTACCCACTGGGATAGGAACCAAAATGTGTTTGCTGTCCCTGTTTAGCCAAGGGTAGGTGGCGTGGCCCTCCCTGCCTGCTTATGGTGGACAGTGTGTGTTGTCTCGGCTTCCTCCGAGAGACTGGTGGTTTAGCTTCTGTCTACACAGGCAGAAGGGCTAGAACTATCCCTTGGGACTTCCCAGCAGGAGTCCTCAGGAACAGTGGGTGTTCAGCAGAAAAAACACAGGCTCTTCTGGTGACGGGGGATAGGTTTCCTCTCCCTCGGGTCATCCTATTGTTGGCACAAGTCAGAGTTCCTGGCCGGGATTTAGAGAGCCCCTTTCCAGGCATGAGCAGAGGCCCAGAGGGCCAGCAGGGAGCCACCAGAATCTGTGCCCAGAGCTCTGGTTGGCAAAGGAGATTTGGGGGGACATTCTCAGAGTCTTCCAGGGCTGGGCTGAGACGAACGAGGGAGGCGAGAGATGCCATGGGTGGGGAGCTGCTCCCTCTGGCTCCCTTACTCCCAGTCCTCCCACTCTACATCTTCCAGCTGCAGATGGGAGGGGGTAATGGAGATCACAAACACATAGTTACTCCTGAGTCAGGCCCAGACCTAACCTCCCCTTGCTGAGCAGAGCCACCTCCCATCCCCTACCTTAGGCCATACTCTGCCCCCTACTGAGAGTGAACCCCTAGTCTTAAGGAATGTGTCTGGGGGACAGAGCTGCCCTCTGCTTGAGGGGTGGGCCTGCTGCTCTGATTATTTCAGACCTAAAGGAAACGCTTCCGACAACCAACACCAGATACCACAAGGTGATGGCTGCCTACAGGAACCAAGTCAGCCCCAGTCCTTTAAGGAGAACTTGCCTCCTGCTGAGCAGATAATGCCATGGTTCTGAGATGCAGATAATTAGGAGGCCTGAGCAGATACTTGGCCTTGGTCACAAAAGAACAGTGTAATCAAGGGCAAGTTACTTAGCCTTTGGGTGAATGGGGGCCACTCTCCAAGTGGCACTATGGTTAAAAACAGAGGTGGCAGTGGCCTAAGGTGCCCACTAGGTCTTCACTAGGGGCACCAACACCCTAATTCCCAGCTCAAGTCTCCCCACAGAACCTTTTCTTGCTTTGTTCCTACTCTTGGCCTGCTGTCGGCTAAGCCCTGGTATAAGAGGTTCTAGAATGCTCAGGTGTATTGCAATCAGGTTTTAAAGGGGGCTGCAAAGACACAAAAAGCCAGCAAGCCCCTGTGGCCTGACAGGGCACTATAGGCCTTCTCTGTTCTGAGTATAGTGAGGTAGTCACAAGTGCAAAATACTCCTGTAGATAGAATACTCCCCCAAGGCTTCAGTTTCCCGTCATGAAAAAGGAGGCCCTTCACAGGTCTCTCTAATCTGTCCACCTCTTTCTAACAGGCTCATGAGTTACACGATGGAAGGACTCATGTGGTTCTTATGTGACAGTGGAAGTAATGCTGACATGAATCAGATATCTGGGCTGCAGCCTCAGTCCTGTCATTAATTAGCTGGGAGAGCTTTGGACTGTTCCAGCCTCTGAATCTAAATGAGCCACTTTTGATTCTGAGAGGTAGTGAAGAATAACAGCACTAAGGCCTCTTTGAGCTGAATAACTGGAATGGGTTTTGTGGGGTTTATCACTAATGTCTCCTGAGTGCCACCATGTCTCAGGCACTAGCCCTAAGGTGTCTACATGGATCACCTCATTACAGCTTATAAGCCAGGTCTTATAATAATCAATTCCATGTTTTAGATGAGGAATCAGGGGCTTAGGTTAAGTAACTTGCCCTTGATCACACTGGTCTTTTGTCTCCAAGGCCAAGTATATACTCAGGCCTCATACCTGGGGACCACAACTCAGAAGGTCAGGTAGGGTTTGATGTCTTTTTTTTTTCAAAAATAGAAATGGGGTCTCACTATATTGGCCAGGCTGATCTTGAACTCCTGGCCTCAAGCAATCCTCCCACCTTGGCCTCCCAAAGTGTTGGGATTACAGGCGTGAGCCACCGCGCCCAGCACGGCATCTGTTTTCTTAAGCAGTTTCTCAGGCAATTTTAATACAGAGCTAATGTCAAGAACTCTCCCCTCTATCTACCCTGGAACTGAGGGGAAGTGGAGCCTACCGATGACCACTGTTGTGGATCTGAGCAGGAAGCTCCAGCTCCTTTCCCACAACCTATCACCTCAGACAGGAGCAGTGACCCTCCTGAGGGGACAGCTGGGCTGGCTGGGGAGAGTTCTCACATCCAGGACCATTAGGCTCGCGTCCCTCTGACCCACCAGGCCCACTCACCTCCCCAGAGGCATCCACTTTGGAAAGTGCCATCTGCACTTCCTCTTCGGTCATGTCCAAGTCAAAGTCTTTCTCCCAGTCCTCACTGATGTCTGTGCTTGAGCCTGGAATCACGAGCCACAGTGTGAAAAGCAGGAGGAGGCAGGGAAGGGACACTTGAAGAGGGTGTAGCTGGGGAGATAGCACGCTTTAAAAAGGTCTCACAAATACACAAGTCTTTACATTCTGTGTTCACTCTGACACAGCAATCCCACTTTTTTGTTTTGTTTTGTTTTCTTAGATGGCGTCTCGCTCTGTCGCCCAGGCTGGAGTGCAGTGGTGCGATCTTGGCCCACTGCAACCTCCGCTTCCCAGGTTCAAGCGATTCTCCTGCCTCAGCCTCCCAAGTAGCTGGGATTACAGGAGCATGACCCCATGCCCAGCTAATTTTTGTATTTTTAGTAGAGACAGGGTTTCACCATGTTGGCCAGGCTGGTTTCAAACTCCTGACCTCAATGATCCGCCTGCCTCGGCCTCCCAAAGTGCTGCAATAACAGGCGTGAGCCACGGCGCCTCGTCCCCACTTTTAAGAATCTATTCTAAGGAAAAATCCTGGATTCAGTCAGGAATTTAGCAAAGAGTGTTCACTGCAGTGCTGTCATAGTGATGGAAACCTAGAAACAATCTGAAAGTCCACTGACAGGGAATTAGACAAGTAAATAGTGAGTTACATGTAGGCTGTCAGAGGTTAGGCTGGAGAAGAACTTCACATCCATGCCAAACCGCCTTAAACTATTACCTCAGAAAAAGCAGGCTACTAAAGAGTGGAGAAGCACTGTGGCTCAGAGGCTCCAAGAGTCACAGAAATCTTCCAGAGGAAATACACAGTGAACTGAGACCTTGTCTCTAGAAAAAAATTTAAAAATTAGCCAGGCATGGTA